CAAGGAGGCCTGGCCCCACACCTCTCCCCCGCCTCACCTCTCCCCCTGCTCAGGGCTGGTGCCCTCTCCCCTGCACTCACAGCTTCCCAAAGAACTCTCCCTCCCTTGGCTGCCAGCCTTTGCTCCTCCAGTACCCTCTCCTGGTGAGCCCTTCCCCTCATGCCTGCCTGCTGAACAGCTCCCCATGGCTCCAGGCCCTGGGTCAGAGGCTCCTCGCCCACAAGGCCCCACGGGCCCACAGAGGCGGTCTCCCTGTGCCCTTCACCCACTGCACTCTGCCTCTCCCAAGGGCCGAGGGGCCTGTTTCATTCTGTCAACAGACCTGTCAACAGACCCAGGGCTTTCTGGGTGCCAGGACCTGGTAGGGACACCCTCTCACTCATCCTTATAACAACCTCATCCCAGCCACCAAGGCCCTGCATGAAGGACCCTGCCACTCCCCTGTCCTCTTCCCACTCCACCTCTCTCTTGCAGCCACACTGGCTCCTGGCTCTTCCCCTCACAACCAAGCTCAGGCCTGTCTCAGGGCCTTTGCACCTGCTGTCCCTTCTGCCTGGAATGCCCCCTCAGCACACCTCCCCAGACACCCTCTGCCTACCACTTTCCCCCACCTGCTTTTCTTTGAGGCCTTTGTCACAGTGTGGAATGCACTGGCCAATTTGCTAGCTGCACATTGGCTGTCTCCCTGACCAGAATGTCACCTCCAGAGGGTGGGGACCACCTTGGGCCCACAGTGGGTACTCACTTGATACTGGTTGAATGTATATACTTTTTGTTCATAAGTGAGAAGCTCGGGCCCAGAGAGGCCAAGTGCCTTGCCCAAGGTCACTCAGCAAACAAGGGACAAAGCTCAGAGCTTTTTTCTTTTTTTGCCCTGGCATCTTACCCCTCAGAGGATGTAAAATCATGGTTTGCCATCTGTTTGCCCCATAGCAGACAGGCCGGCAAGTGGCTGAGCTTGGGGCATGGCACACCTGGATTCCTATCCCAACATTGCTTCTCTCTGGGAAAGGGATATTCCCTCTCAGAGCCTCAGACCTCCCCTCTGTAAAATGGTACTCCTACCTTTTGGTCTTGGGGACACCCAAAAGGGGCTCAAACACCAACAGGCCAGGGCTCCAAACAGCCCCCACTTCCCCGTCCCACTCTAGCCTCCCCTGGGTTTCCCAGCCCTTATCCTCATTACCCTGCATGTGGCAACAACCAATGCATGGCCAAAAATCTCACAGGGAGGAGTGGCTGGCCAGCTGGTGCCACTGGGACACCATGTGGGTCATCCAAGAGATCAGCCAGGTCGAAAAAGAACTCGGGGTCAAGGCGGGAGGACAGGACAGGGAAACAGACCAAATGAGAGGTTTGGTTCCATGGGCAGGTGGGGAGTGCCCATCAGGTTCAAATGTGAGGCAGGAACTCAAATCCTGCATTAGCCATTCACCAGTTCTTAGGCCAGTGACTTCACCTCTTGGTGCCTCAGTTTCCCCATCTCCAAAAGGGAAGTGATAAGTAACACCTACATCATTGGGGTTTTGTAAGGATAAAAGGAACTTAACACACACAGAATAGCAATTGGCAGAGTGAGTGCTCAATAAACTGTGGCTTGTCCCCACTGCTGCCTCACCTGGCTCGGGCATCTGTTCAGCTGTCACCTCCTAGGAGAAGCCTGCAGGGACCTCCTTACTGCCTCCCAGCCCCACTTTCTGTCCCTTCAGAGCTCTTGCCCCCACCTGTCATTACCTTGTTCCAGTTACTGGATACTTAGTGTCTGTCTCTCCCTGTAAATTGTCACCTCCATCTTGGTCACCACATGTCCCCAACACCCAAGCAAAGGAACTGGCACACAGCAGGTGCTCAATAAATGTTGCATAAATTTAAAAAAATAACTGGGCAAATAAACATCTCAGATATAAGGACAAAAGACTCAGGGAGGTCTAGACAGGACTTGGAGGCTGGAGGAACATTCTTTAGGTGTTTAGAAGGAAGAATTCTCCTCATTCCTACTTCTGCCATTTTTAGCTGTGTAACCTTGAACAGGTCCCTTCCCCTCTCTGAGACTGGTTGGCAGGAAAACACTGATACCAAAAGTTGTGCCCTAAGGGACTGGCCGATTAGCTCAGTTGGTTGGAGTGTGGTGCCGATAACAAGGTCCAGGGTTCGATCCCTGTGCCAACCAGTTGCCAAAAAAAAAAAAAAAAAAAAAACCTGTGGGCTCCGAGCAGCTGACGAGCGAGCCTGTTAAACTGGTGAGTACAGCCTCAACGTGAGGCCCAGCACCAGGCCTTGTCTCCAGCTTTCATTTCCGACACTCACTTTTGCCTTGGTAAGACCACCAGGCTGGGGGGACAACTGCCTGAGATTATAAGTGTGAGTGAATTTTGTCAACCCTCCTATCCTGAGTGGGGTGCCAGGCTCCCAGCTATCCTCAGTGGTCAAACCCACTAAATGGGCCTGTAGTTACCATGACCGTCCTTCTCCGGCGGTGAAGCATCCAGTGAGTACATCTGAGCCAAGGACTTGGAATGGTGCTCTGCACGCCACCTGCACGTGACTTACCTCCACTATTACTCCTGGAGGCTTGTCCCTGGCCTCCCGGGCCCCTCGACCCATCCCACTCTCTTTCTCATGTCCAAACTTGTACATGGACTGGTTCCTCCTTGCAAGCCCCTAGCCTCGTAGCTGGTGATCCATGGCATGGATGTCACTGCACCTATAACACCTCCTCAGGTCGTTTGGGTAGTGCTCCCACAACAGGACACCCACACCACCATCAAAGCCCTCAACCTACTCACTATTTTTCCCAGCCCTCTTCAGAGGCAGTCAGATAGTCTTGGTCCAAATTCCCTTTCTGTTGCTTCCAAACTGTGAAACTACATGCAAGTCAGTTAACTTTGGGTCTTGGGGGGCCTGAACTTGAAGCTGGGCAAGGAGCCCTCCAAGAAGGACCCAGGATTCAGGGTAGGGACTAGGATTACAAGTCAAGATCTTGGCCCCAAACTTTCCCGAGAGTTGGGAGTTAGATGGAATTTTATAGCCGGCTCTACCCACCCCACCTAGAGCACTAACCTCACTACTGTGGGCCTCGATCTACGTCTTTAGAAATGAGTGTAATACCTTGTGTGGGTTGCTTATGTAGATTAAAGCAAGAAGTCAGTGTGTAAAAAGCTGCATTCAATGCTGGCTCCAAGACAGCGTCAGGAAGATGGGGGTGGTCACTGTTTGGCCAGGCTGCTCCCCTCTCACCTCCTTTGCGTAAGCAGCAGCCACCAGCCAACTCTCAGTGACAAAGGGGAGAGTGGGGATCAGCGAGACTAGTTTCTAAATTGCAACCCTCTTCACCGCCCCTGGAGACTGAGCCACCTTCAGCCCTGGGTCCAGCCCCCCAGCCTTTGCCCTTCAGCAAGTAAATCTGAGAGCCAGTGTGCTGTTGCCAGTACTGATGGAGCCATCGAAACTGATGGGGCATGGGACTGGACCGACTTTGAGGCAGAAGTGAGGTTATATGTCCAGTAGTCTGCACAGCCACCACGGGAGACATTAGCATTGGGGAGGTGGCGTTTGCCTAGATCCTCAGCTCCCTAATGGTGGGGGCCGAGAGTCACCGTCTCTGTCCCCCACACACCTTGGGCTCCTACAGGGAAAGCACATCCAGGCCCCCAAAGGGAAAAGGGAGAGGAAAAGCAGTCCCCATTCTCAAAGCACAGTATCAGTGGCTGCACCCAAGATACCAGGCTACCCCAGGCCCTTGGCAAGCCAATCTCTGAATCCCACTGCCCCGGAATTTCTCAGGGCAGGGTGACCCAAACCAGTTTCTTGCCCATAGGGATCTGACAGCCAAAGGCTGCTCCACAGCTCTAAACACAGGCCTCACACTAGTACCCACATTCCCAAAGGTTGCCATGAAGTTTAAATGAGATGGGACAGGTCCAGGGTTTACCGGACGCAGGCCTCTGGCAAGCGCTGGCCACAATCGCGCTGCACTGGAGACTGGGGTGCCAGATGCCAGGAGCCTCCCAGCGAATAATAACAAGAGCACATGCTTATATAACACCTCCTGCGTGCCAGGCACCGTGGGACGCCGTATGTGTATCCACTAACCCCTCCATCCACCACAGCCTCAACTCTCAGGAATGCCGTCCGGGGCTGGAACGGAGGTGGGGGTTGCAGTGAGGAGGGGAAGGAGGGGGCAGAGGAATCAGGGAAGAGGAGCCTGTCCCTGGGGATCAGGGATGCCTACCCACGGTCAAGCCTGGGCTCAGTCACCTTGAGCAAGTAGGTGAGCCTGGACCTCAGTGTCCACATCTGAGCAAAGAAGGCAAGTGATAAGTCTCCCATTCCAAGGAAAGGGAGTCAAAGTGCAGGAACCCTTCCCCCACCTCCTCGACCTGGCCCGGCTTCTCCCCTCCTCCTGCTGGCCAGAGACACACAAACACAGACTCATTCGCCCACACACACAGGCTCCCCTCTTAAAATATATACATACACACAAAGTATTTTTTAAACAGCCCACCCCGCCACACTTACCATAAGAATCTGCCCTGACTTTGGCTCAGGAGGACCAAGATCTGAACTCTCTCTTTGTACAGAGTCAAAGGCCTACTGCCTGGTCCCCGAACACAGTGCAAACCCTCCAATCGCAAGCCTGACACTAGGGACAAGCCAGAGGCCCCGGACCTCCTCCCTAAGCAGCGTTCCCAGCCACCCGTCACCCTGCACCCAGGGGCGCTGAGTCACTCTGAAAGCCTGACCCAGCACTCTTCTCCCCTTTCCCCCAGGGCTGGCGCCCCCATCTCCAGGCAGACCCTGGAGGGAGTAGCAGAGGAGGAGAAAAACCAGCTGCAACTCCCCCACCCAACCACCAAAACACCCCAAAATAACAGCAGCCCCCACACACACACAACATCCCCCTACACACCAGAAACGCAAAAAAAAAAAAAAAAAAAACCCGAAATCTTCTAAATCCAAAACAAAGGAAAAAAATCAAAAGCCAACTACTGCCCCCAAAAGGCTTTTTAACCATTCTCAAAAAAAAGTTTATTAAAAGTATTCTTACTTAATGCTTGAAACGGAAGATTCCCAAAATATACAGACGCCTCTTTTCTCATAGAAATAGATTATTTTTTTATAATACAAAAAAAAAAAAAAGGCCAAAAAAACAAAAACATCAACAGCAACAACCCCGTAGGAACATCTCTAAGCGATTACTCAGGGCCCGGCTGACAGTTACACGTGGGTTGCGTCAGTCCCGTGTACACACGCGCTCAGCCATGTTTAAACCGATTGCATCAACTTCGAAACCGGCCCGCCCGCCGGCGCCTGGAGAGGGGACAGGGGGACAGGCAGAGCGTTTATCATTCATCTGTACACACAGACGGTTCTTCTTTAAATACCACCACAGGCGGGCGCCTCATTTGCATGTGCCGCTGGTTTGGACAAAAATATATATATATATATATATATAACAAAATATTAAAATTACCGAGGGGCTCCCCGCGCTGCCAAGTGCCCCAGTGCCAAAGTTTTGCCGGCGCCACCGGGGGCGGGGGCGCGGGCGCTCCCCGGAGTCCCGGCAGCGCGGAGGCCGGCCGGCAGGGGGACGCGCGCGGGGGCCGCGCTAGCAGTGGCCGGAGGAGGCGAGCAGGGGCTCGGGCAGCTGCTTGAACAAGTTCCGCAGGGTGCTGAGCTCGCGCGACAGCTGCTCCACCTTCTTCTGGAGCCGCTCGTTCTCGGCCGTGAGCTCCAGGACCTTGTGCTGCGTCTCCAGGTTGCGCATCTTGGCCTTGTCGCGGCTCTTGCGCACGGCGATGTTGTTGCGCTCGCGCCGGATCTTGTACTCGTCGCTGTGCTTGTCCACCGTCTTTTTGGCCTTGCTCTTGACCTGCGAGGGCGCCGGCGCGGCCCCCGCGTAGCAGGCGGCCGCGGGCGCCTTGGCGTCGG